CAAATGTGCAAGATGATGTTGAAATTTATAGGATAAAATCTACTTAAAAGGATCTGCAGCCCATTTCCCCTTGGCCAAGACTCTCCCCTCTTGGGTGCTACCCTGGCAGCACCCAGTTGCCACTTTTGACCTCAAATCTCAAGAAGACACTCAGCCAATGCAGAGATCTGCGCACTCCCCGTGAGTGGCCTGCATCTCTCCTCAGACTCCCAGCCCTGGCTCCCCCAGCCGAAGCTCTAACTCCCGGGCACAGGTGAGTCTGGCCCAGCCCCCAGGTCTGCAGGGACCCCTCAGCCTGTCTCACCAGCCGCCTCCTTGTCCTCAACTCCTACTCCCCAGGGGTCCCAAGGTGACATCTGACTACCCGCTCTTTTCTCGGTGGGTGTGCAGGAACAAGAGGGGCCATCACGTCACAGCCACCGGGGCAGCGTCCACGCTCTCGCAAAGCCGTGGGCGCTGAGCAAGCTTGGGGTGGGTGAGGAGGGCCCATTTCTTACAGGGGCTGTGGGGCCGAGCCTTACCCCCGGCACAGGCGAGGACCTCCACGAAATGGTACGGGAACTTCCCCTTCTTCAGCTTCAGGACCACGTTCTGGATGTTCCGAAAGCCGAATGCAGCGGCGAAGCGGAGCAGAACTTCCCCGTTCCTTTCAAGGGTGACCTCCTGGAAGTCCTTGTTCCTGCAAAGGGAACACATGGGCTGAGCTGTTGAGTCCTCCTTCTGTGGCTTGAGGATCATTTCCAATCTAAGTTCAGGAGTTAGCAAAACAGGATCCGTGAACAAACAAGGCCTTTGGATCTTGAATGGTGTGAGCCCCCCAGCACGCGCACACTGGCCTTGGGGACCGTCCCAAGGCGGTGCTGAGCACACGCACAGCCCGGGGCCGTCCCTGCACACCTCAAGGTGCGATAGGTGACCTCCCCCACGTCCTCGTTGAACAGCTCCTTGGCCGCGTGCCGGAAGATGTGCGCCAGGTACCCATCGGAGCTGGCCCCGTCATGCCGCCTCAGCTCCTCCTCCTCCAGGTCTCCGAACCTCAGCAGACAGACAGAGACAGTGACAATTAGATCAGTGCCCGAGTTTTATGGTGCAAGGCAGCTACGGCAAGAATGAAATCCTTTCCAAACCCTTCATTCAGCTCTGGGCACATCTCACTTGACTGTGTTTGATGAGCAGCATGAAACCTCATCGGCGCCCGCGTCTGAGATGGGGGTTTGGGGGTGGTGCTCAGACTCCTCAGGGAGTCACTTTTCAGCTGCACATATGCCAGGGCATGTCCCTCAGGACCTGGAGACAGAGACTCTGAGGGTGACTTCAGAGCACGCTGGCCTGAGCCCCACCCAGGACGGGCCGCATGGTCAGCCAGCTCAGCACAGGCTGTGGCCACTCGAGCGGCTGAAATTCCATAAACCTCAGTCCAGCCATNTCTTGTCCTTTCCAGGCAGGTAAGGACCCCAGGGTACCAGGCACCAGGCACACCCGCATGCTAGGAATTTCCTGATGTTCTAATGGCCGTTTTTTTCGCTTTGGTTTGTCTTTTAAAAAGGAGGCCCCGGTGGCCTGTACTGCGTTGTCCTGAGATTTCCCTGTCAGTGCATCAGACTCTATTCCATGTTTTCACCGCCTCTAAAGCCCAGCGTTTGCTTGTGCAGCGAGCTGCGGGGCGCCTGCTTCCCACTGGCAGCTGCACTCCGAGTCCCATGCCCATCTACTGGGCAAAACCCAAAGCAATGTAAGAGTCCACCCTTACCTGTATTTATAGTTTGTGCTTCCATTTAAACACCACTTCGGCCCTGCCCCTGCCCTCCTTGTTCTCAAAACACATAGTCAGCCTTCTCAGGAAGCCCAGGTCCAGCCTGTCCTCTGCTGCCCGGACGTCGTGTTGAGGGCAAATGCTACACCTGCTGCTGCTGACGGGGGCAAAGCCAAAGCCCACGTGGAGGGAGGTGGCGTGTAGCTGCCGAGGCTGCGCCCCTGAGGTGGGGGAGCCTGCGTGTGGTGGCCAAGTGGCCTCGGGCACGTCAGCGGCCTCACCTAACTCAGGGTGAAGAACTGAGGTGTCCCTGCAGGGCATGTGTCCGTCCGGAAGCCCTGCTCGGCTCCGGCCAACACCTTCAGGCAGCCAGGCAGTTCTCAGGCTCCATGCCCCAGGCCAGCCCCGACCTCCGTGTGGAAAATGGACGCACCGCAACCCTCACTCGGATGGCATGTGTGTGGCCGGAGCCAGCCCAAGCTCTCAGGCCAGGCAGAACGGACGAGAATCCGGCACCGAAGAGCAGCGCTGCTCACTGAGATGGCCATCACGCGCACCGACTATCCCATGTGGTCATCGGGCACTGGCGGCGCCAGAACTCAGGCCTGAGGGCGGCTGGTGGGACAGAACTTGGTCTTGCTCCAGCGCCCCCTGGTGCATACCCCGCTGGCCTGCCCATGAGGACCCTACACAAGCCTTGGGCAGGCCCTGCCACCTCATGGTCTAGGAGGGTGGACTGTGCCACCTTACCCAGGAGCACGTCCTCGATGAGGCCAGAAGAGGCAGCCGTCGAAACAAGAGCTGCCCACACCTGGCTCCTGTCGTCATGGGCCTGCTGATGGGGACAGGGAAGGATGGGCTCAGGCTCTGGGCCAGCTGGTGGCATGGGTGTGGCGAGGGAAGGCACAACA